AGCTACTTAGGAGGCTGAGGCAGGAGACTCGCTTGAGCCCAGGAGTTGGAGGTTGCTGTGAGCTGTGATGTTACAGCACTCACTACCCAGGACGATAGCTTGAGGCTCTGTCTCAAAAAAAAAGGATATACTGTCCCTGTCCTTGGCAGGGTGATTGCACAAGGATGCACAAGGATGTGCTGAGGGAATTCAGGGACCTCCTTAAGCAATGCATGGGATGTTGAGTTAATCATTCTCCTAGGTCCTTTGTAACCACTAAGATTTTATGACTTAGATTCCTAGTCAATTCCACCTAGGAAGGTTTAGGCCAGTGAAATGAACTATGAGGAGTGGACAGGGCAGAGGACTGAGGAGGAAAGACAGACTCTCTAACCCATTAAGGCCAGTGATAAGAAAGTCCAGGTTGCCCAGGATCTTGGTGCAGTTCACAAATCCATCGATGTTGCTTGAGTCCACAGTCTGGAAGCGGCTTCCAGCACCTGTCCCCTCACAGGCTGCAAACAAAAAAAGAGGTTCAATGGGGGCAGTCTGAGGAAAGCATATCTCTTTTCAACTTCTTATCATCTTCTACTCACCTTTAGGGCATAGCCCCCCACAAGGTTCACACATCTTTAGCCCATTTTTATCTACTTCCATCTTGTCAGGAGGACAGGCTCTGACACAGGACGTCTGATCCACCACAAAGTTGTCTAGGGAAGGGAAGGGCATATTAGAGGAGAAGGAGGAACAATGCCAACTACCAACAAAATCCCATCTGGGCGCTTCTCCGTCCTGCTCTGCACTGTCTTTGTCCCACTACCACCCTAGGTTCCTTAAGAGCTGTCCCTTTGCTCTATGTTGCTACAACAATAGAACTGGGGGCTAGAAGTCAGAGGGACACAAGTGGGGACACTCATTGGGGATGGTTAGATGATCATAACCATTTGCCTTCCAAGTTCCCAATTGGATCCCTTTTACCCCACAAAACTTTGTCTACAATTCTGGACCCACTATTATCAGCCCTTCCTTTCAGACACTTACGGGGACAGTTGGCTACACAAACTCCTCCATATTGGTACTTGGTGTGTGGATTGGGTTCCAGCTGGAAAGTTAGCTTATTATAGACAAGAGGCTGTGGACACCGGGGTACACAGGCTCCACTATCATTGAAGTGTCGACAGGCCTGGGAATGTAGAAGACTCATAAAACTCATGTTGCATATGTACCCCTACCCTCCTCCCCAAAGCCTACACCCCTATTTTGAACCCAGGGAAACACTAAAAGTACATACAAAGCAGTCTGTGTCCTGAGGGCCTGAGCACCCCCCTGCACACTCATCATGGCAGCACTGGTTGGGGTTGGGCCCAAAGCAGTGACCATTACACTGAGGGGCACAGATGGTCTTGGTCACTGTGGAAGGAGAGAAAGCATAGCTGTCAGGACTCTTAGAACTGCATTCTGAGACCACTGCTCTTCACTACCCCCAGGGATGACACAGGTTTGGGCAGGCAGGGATATGAAAGTATATGAGTTTGAAGTTTTTGGAGGGAAATTCAAACCCACATGTCTGGCAGTCTTCTGGTCCGGGACCCCAGCATCTCCCCTTGCAGACCTCATGACAGGGGGGACCTGGTTAGAAAAAAAGACAACACAAAGGACAGTCAGAGCTAGGAAAGGATTGTTTGGATCAACAGGGTATGATGTCAGCACACAAGAACCTCAATCCCAAGAAGCAAAGAACCAGAGCAACGTCCCTCCCTGCCCTTGGAGAGCAGGGCTGGGCTGGGTGAACCTGTCAACAAAGGGTGGAGCCACGCCTCCACACTACCCACTGGGCAGCTAAAGGGGAGGGATTCAGCAAATGCCAACCAACCTCAGCCCAGTCTCAACCCAGGAACTTAGTTCCTCCTTGGCAAACTGAACACAGCAGGAAGATAGGTGAGTGGACAGAAGGAATAGCAGATTCTGTGCAAGGGTAGATGGGTTCCAAGGAGAAGAGGGGACCTTGTGGTGGAAAGAGTAATGGCTGTGGAGTCAAAAGAAATGAATTTCCTGCTTAGAACTCAGAGATCTTTTTGCTCCTCTTCTTGATATGCATCCTCTGTGGCTTGGGTTCCAGGGGACTTGTCCGGTCCTTCCTGGCAGGCTCTTGGGCTAGGGCCTGGGGTGTTTGTTCAGTGGAGAAATGGGTTCAGATCAGGGATGTAAGGATGATGGGAAAGGAATCACTCTGGTTTGGTGGGACAGGGGGAGCAGTGTTTATCATGGTCACTCACAGCTTCTGCCATTGTCCTTCACCACTATCTCAGCACATCGGTCCCTCACGATGTCTCTCCAGTCAATCGTGTCCATGTGACAAAGTTTATCATTCTTCTCAATATAGACACCCCCTGACAGAATCTCTGAGGTAAAGGAGAGACGTGGCAGGGTCAAAGGCTACGGAAGAACACTTCCCCACCAGTCTGAAAGATATCTGAGACTCAGCAGCATAGGAAAGAGGGTAGACAGGTATGTCCAATTAGATCCAAGCTGCAGAGAAAACTCTCCTTATAAGAGAAGTCAGGTCAAAAGAAACTCCTGCCTCCTCAAACACCTGTCCAGATCCGGTTTAGCCAGTGGGGGGAGGGAAGGGAAAGATGGAGAAGATCTCTGACTCAACAACAGCTCCCCCCCCCCCCCCAAGCCCTACCTGTGTGTTTTCCAACTGACTGGGACAGGGTGAAGCAGCAGGTGACCAAGTGTTATTTAACCCTTATATGCCTCCAGCTTATTGAGGGTTGGGAGGGAGTAAGGGTAGGATTCCCAGGGAAAAAGAAATATTAAGGTATACTATACGCTGATCTTGCTCCAACTCTAGTCCCACCAGGACAGAGGACCCTTTCCCTGGAGTAGATGCCCACAGCTCCCTATTGGAGACCCTCTACTGTCTAGGAGGTGGTGGGCTTTTAGACCACAGTGGTCAAGGAAGTGGGCACCTTGGATGGGGCACATAAAGTGAACAGTCTTGGGCAATTATCAGGGAGGTGCCAGTCAGCAGGTTGGCTAAAGGGGGCAAGGCTAGAAGGAGTTACCAAGAACTGACCAGTGAGCTGAGTAAAGCGGAGCTGGCGAAGAGCATGGCTGGAATTGGTGTTATAGTTCAACATGACAAAGATGGCAAACTTCCCATCATAGACTTGGGTGCCCCGCACGACTCGGAGGTTGGGTAGTGGTAGTGTAGAGAATTCATTCATGGCCACGAGGACATAGCCTGTCACTTCTCGGATCCACTGTGATGGAACAGATTGTATCAATGCATGAAAAGGCAAAAAGTCTCAGTCCCTTCTCCCTCCTTCAGGAATTACAGAATCCTTAACTCTTTTAAGTCTTTCTAATTCCTATTTTGCAGTAGGGAGTAGATTACACCACCCTGTCACTTCCAACAGAGAAGACAAAGAACAGAAATTATTGAAGAATTCTAGTTTCCTACTTTTTTTTTTTTGCGACAGGGCCTCACTCTGTCACCAGAACTAGAGTCCAGTGGTATGATCATAGCTCAAGGCTACCTCCAACTCCCAGACTCAAGCAATCCTCTAGCCTCAGCCTCCCAAGTACCTGGGACTACAAGTGCCTGCCACCACATCCAGTTGATTTTTTTTTTATTCTAAGTAGAGATGGTTCAAGACCACCCTTGCTGGTCTTGAACTCCTGATCTCAGGTGATCCTCCTGCCTCAGCCTCCCACAGTGCTAGGATTAAAGGCATGAGTCACTGCATTTGCCAAGTTTCTTGGTGTTTTTTTTTTTTTTGAGACAGAGTCTCACTTTGTTACCCCTTGGTAGAGTGCTGTGGCCTAATAGCTCACAGCAACCTAAAACTCTTGGGCTCAAGTGATTCAAGTGATTCTCTTGCCTCAGTCTGCCAAGTAGGTGAGACTACAGGCACCCTCCACAATGCTGGGCTATTTTTTAGAGATGGGGTCTCACTCTAGCTCAGGCTGGTCTGGAACTCTTGAGCTCAGACAATCCACCCACCTTAGCCTCCCAGAGTGGTGGGATTAGAGGCGCGAGCCACCGTGCCCGGCCTTAGTTTCTTGCTTTTTTTCTTCTCAAAGTTTCTCCTGCCAGGAAGGTCCTGGCTTAGTTCCTTTCTCATCTCCCCAGGTGCATCTCAGTCCTCAGGTGTCTCTCTGCACTAGTCCCTGCTTCTTTTGCACAACCACAGAACACCACCTGCCCCATTAAACACAGGTTTGAATCTTAGGAACTACTGAGTCCCAGGAATACTGAACTTCAGAGAGAGCCCTGAGAAAGAGAAGGTGGCTCCTAGGGGAGAATAAAGAGGAGCAGGTCGAGAAAAGGGGACAGGCACTCTAACCTGCAGGAAGGAGAGGTCAGCATTGTGTCCTGTGAGCACAATCTCCAGGTTCCCCATCACCACCTCACACCTCGCGTAGAGCTTGTACAGTGTCTGGTACTGGTTCTCAGCATCGCCAGTCACACTCAGCCCATTCAGAGTCCCAGGACACACTGTTCAAAGTAGAAAGAAGAGTGGCAGAGGGATGGACACAAGTTCTCAAGTTCTTGGCCCCATTTGCCATTCCTCAAGACACTTCCCCCCACCCCCCAGTGTGCCTTCTTCCAGCAGGATCAGAAGGCATTTGCCTCCAACCCCCGCACTAGTGACAGATAGGCCTGCTGTGGCTGAGAGCCTCCTCCCTTCTCAGAAATACCCTCAACATCGCTTGAATGCAAAGGTGAAAAGGTTTCCTTTTTCTTCCAGGGACCTCCTGTGCCTCTTTCAGGTACTGAGGGGTTAATTGAGAAAGAAGACAGGGGATTTTTTTTTTCTCTCCCTAGAAAGGAGAAGTTAGGAAAGGACCACAACTTTGGTTAGCCTCCTCTCCCCCTCCAACTAGGGCACTTACTTCTTCACCCTCATCCTGCCTCTCTGGGTCCTGGAATAAACATCTCTTTGGGGCTAGCACACAGCCCCTATTGTGTCTACTGAGGGTGGGATGGGGGCAGTGGTGGGGGCAGTGCCTGGGGCCACAGTCCAGCCCACAATGAGGCGATTCTATCTAGGAGGAGGGGGCTGCCCCACCCTGTCCCCAGATACCTCATCCTCAGCAGTACCCCTCTTCACCCGCAAGCCTGGGGCTCAGACAAGTGACCTCACTAGAGGGGGGAGCTCTGGTCGTGGTGGGGTGTCAATGGAAGCTTTGTCTTTAGAGCTGGAAGATAAGGAGCTGGTTGCCCGCCCCTCTCTTCCTAAACTCTAGCTTTCCTTCTCACTCCTTCCCCTAGCCCAACACACTCCCTCAGCATGGCTTTCTAGCCTCAGAGTACTTTTCAGCAAATACAGCAAAGCCTGGAGGGAAACAGTAGCAGACTCCCTACTCTAAGCCTTCCATGCAATTTCATTGTTAGAAGAGATTCATTAAAAAGACTTCCAACATGGCAATCCTTACCCTCACTAGAGGAGAGTCTAGACCAGAGGCACATGAGGCGTGTCAAGGCTTGGGAGTTCACTTTTTGTAAATGTGGAGGGCAATGGGCTGTGGGAAATCTTGGACCCTGAAGCCCCATTCCAGTCTCTCTCTTCTGCCTCAGAAACAGACTCTGGGTGGAGGGGGTGGGGAGTAGAGAGAAGATACCACCTGTTCCAACCACCCTTCCCTCAGGCAATGGCAGCTCAGTGGGAGTCAAGAGTGGGAATGTGGGAGGGAGATTGGTGAGGTCCCAACTCCTCCTACTAAATACACCCTTCATCTGACCACTTGACCTTTGAGTGTTCTCATACAATATCTCTCCCTAAGAAGAGGAGAGGTTTGCTAGTCTTAGCAAAGAGGGGTAAACAGGCCCGGAGCTCCCAGGAGCTTGGGAACTCCAGGGTCCTTGGGCTGAAATGAAAGAAACTAGGAAAGTTAGTCATTTCTGGAACAGCCCCACCCTGATTCCCTTCCTGGAAGGACACCCCCTTTTCCAAGTTAAGGCGCCAATCCTTCTCCTGAGATAAGGGAGGAGCCAAGATTTCTGCACAAGGAAGTGGTGTGTGTGTGAGTGCACACATACACACACATGAACAGGTATACTCTCCTGCTGGCACCTAAATCTATGCAGATCTGTCCTTACAGGAAGTATTTCAGGTGGCCCCATTCATCCCACCTACCCATGTTTGTGCAGACTTTGCATCTAGCTTGTAAAGATACAGTGTTAGAGGTCCCAGTTCCCTGCCACCCTGAGGGTAAAGTCCATATTATACAAACAGGGCAAAGGGCTTGGGTGGGAAGGAACTATAACCAATACCTCTGGGGAGGGACTAGGCAGCTTGGGGAGCAGGGTGGGTAAGGGGAATTATAAGAATCCCTGATGTGACCAGGGACCAGGGACATAGGGAAGGGTAATGTCACAGACCCTCCTCTGCTAGAGAGCACTGAGGCTGGGACAGAGCAAGAATCTCTAGCCCTCCTCAACAAGAGGCCTCTCCTTCAACATCCCCCACCCCCATCACTGCCAGGACAAAGGGGCTATAGAAGGACTGAGACAGGGCCGGATGCCCAGAGGCTGCAGGAGCCAGATAAAGGGTAAAGAGACCCAACCATGCCTGCCTCCTGCCTCCCCCAGGGAAGGTGGCCAGAATCTGGGACTCCTGGGTTCTTAGTTGAAGAGCTAGGGGTCTGGGTGGGACAGTTATACAGCCACTCCACTGGCCCCTCCCACTCCAGACCTCAGACCACCCCCCTCCACCAGCTGGGAGTGTTCACATCTCAAGATCTCAGGGTCTAAATTTAGGCCCAGCAACTGTGGGGGAAGCACAGGTGGTTTCTCCCACTCCCACCCTGGGGAAGGGGCCCTGGCTCTGCCAAACCCCAAGCTGAGGTCTAGGGGGATGGGAAGACATCAACAGGACTTCAATTCCAAAACACCAGCACCGCTTGGTGTCCATGGTCCCAGAGACACCGCAAAGGGGTGGGCACAGATAGCATGGGAGTGGGAGGAGGATTGGAGAAGAGCAATCCAGGACTCTCTCTAGAGTCCTAGAGACAGTGTCAGACAATAAACAGAATGGGGGCAGCAGGCAGAAGTGGAGCTTAAGAAGGACTTCTCAAGGATGGGAGGCTCAGAAGGTAGACGAGGTGCCCTCTTGCCCCTCGGGTTGGGGAGAGAAATAACAAAAGGCTGGGGCACCGGCCCCATATACCGAGGGTGGCGGGTTCAAACCCAGCCTTGGCCAAACTGCAACAAAAAAATAGCCCGGAATTGTGGCGGGCGCCTGTAGTCCCAACTATTCTGGAGGCTGAGGCAATAGCATTGCCTAAGCCCAAAAGCTGGAGGTTGCTGTGAGAAGTGAGACTCTGTCTCTACCAAAAAAAAAAAAAAAGAAAGAACAAAAGGCTGGACGTCCATGCCCCAGCAGCTCTTGGCCCAGGGCCTTGTGTATATTAGGTGCTCAATAAATATTAGTTGAATTGCCCTGAGTCTTGACAGAGAGAGTGATCAGGTTGGGCCAGCTCTATTATTTTGAGGGGAAGCGAGAGGGCAACCTCTGTTCCCTCTCGCCCTGATGTCACCTGGACTTGGCCCTCTGGTTGATCTCAGCCCTCCCCAGGGCAGGCTCACTCACGAAGAGGAGGTGCCGCTCCTCTTTTCCAACACTAGACAACAACAACCCACTCCGACCCTTCCGTAGCTCCGCCCCGTCGGCAAAACAACGAAACTGGGGGTTGCTGAAACCAGGTGTCGGGTGGGGGACAGGAGCTGGGGAGCAGAGACCCTTCCGCCGAGATCCCCACTTCCAATCATCTCCCGTTCACAGAAAGATCCTCGCTCTGCTCCCTGCAGGCCCCTCAGAGGTGCGAACTGCTTGTGTCGGGAGGAGAGACCAATTAAAGGGTCGGCGGCGCGTTGGGTGGAGGACGTCCAGGAATGCATTCCCGCCGGGACCACCCCAGAACTCGAGCCTGACCGCCCTCTCTCAGGTGGTCGCAGCGGACCCGGGGCCAGCACCTCCACGTCCCACACTGCCCGACACCCTGCTCCTGCCCTCAGGGACTGCGCGCCGCGGCTCGGGCTCCCAGGGTCCCAGCCCGCTTGGCTCCCGCGCCGCTTACCTGCCTGTGAGTTGCCCACCTCGGAGCCCCGGGCCAGGCTGAGAAGCAAGCCCAGCACCTGCAGAGCCCCATTCGCCCTCATGACTCCAAAGGAGGGAGAAGGGAGCCCAGCCGAGTCCGGCCCGGGGGCCCCTGGACTAGGACATCGAAGCGGGAGCCACCTGAGCCGCCTGCGAATTGGTGGCGGCGGTTACAAAACTGCAACCGGAGCTGGAGCCGGAGTCCGGGGCGGGAGGGCAGGGGAGGGGTGTGTGCCTGTGAGAGACGGAGGGAGGGAACGCAGGAGGCAGGGGTGAGTCACGGCCGCGCCCCTCCGCGCGGGCCGAGTGGTGATTGCAGTAGCCGGGACGGCCCTCCTCGAGCGCCACGCCCCGCGGGCCCGCAACCTGGCCCGGCAGACCCGGGATGGGTCTCGCCAGAATTATTCTTCGGGAGCTGCTTTAAGGGGACATCCAGATTCCAAAAGCCCCTAACTCCAAGGAAAGGTAACGAATGAGGGTGGGGACAGAGCTCCAAAGCCCGGCCCCCTGAAAGTTGGTCTTGTCTATTAACCAAATGGCTCAACTCCCCTAGCCGGTTGGTTCAGTTGAGGGGATTTTCGTTCCGAACGTATTTCCCTCTGTGTATTTTTGAGAAGGGCGGTGTTTTTTGCCTCCTATTCAGGCTACCTCAATTTTTCTTGGGACTTGAAACCTCATAACTCATCCACCCTACCCAGGAACCCGAGCCCCAGAGGCCGCGTGAAATTGCACTGTCTCCGGCCGCTTCCTTCTTCAGACCCGGCGCCGGCCCGGCCTCTCCGGGGGATTTGGAATGGGAGTGGGGGGTAGTGGTTTTCAGCCTGGGAACAGACCCCGGGAGGGGCTCCCGCACCTGTCGCCGTCCCCTCTGCTGCCCCCCATGGCCGCCTGGGAGAACAGCTGCCTCTCCTTCCACACTGGAGTCTGGCCACGCTGTCCAGGCGGCCGTAGTACCCAAAGTTCTGGGGATCCACATGGGTCCCCCGAACAGGCAATAACACCCTCCCAGGTGCCAGGTCCAAGTTCCTGCTCGAAAGGAGGAGGAGCGTGCAGTGAAGGAGGGCATGAAGAGGACACCAGAGGCGAGTGGCATAGATCCCCGAGACCCTTCGCACCAGCTCCCACGATCCCCGCCCGAGGGTCGGCCGCACTGCTGTTAGTGCCCAAAGCCCTGCTAGCCCCGGGCTGGATACCACTGGCGCCCCCTGGCGCCCAACCTGTGGCAGTGACGTCCCACACGGCGTTACATTTTCCATTCTTTCAACTGAAGAGCCCAATTATTTTCCCGAGTACTTCAAGCCTGAAGACTTAAGTGTCGATTGAACTTTAATGAGTAAAAATGTCACCCATCACTCCCAGCCAAGACAACGGGCTAAAATGCTTTCTTTTCTTTTCTTTTTGGTTTAGATATGTTCTCACTCTGTTGTCCAGAGTGTCATAGTGTTAGCCTAGCTCATAGCAACCTCAAAACTCCTGGGCTCAAGTGATCCTCCTGACACACCCTTGGCTAGTTTTTTTGTTTTTTTTTTTTAATTTATTTTTGTGTATTTTCTTTTTTTTTGAGACAGAGTCTTACTGTGTCGCCCTTGGTAGAGTGCTGTAGTGTCACAGCTGACAGCAACCTCCAACTCTTGGGCTGAAGCAATTCTCCTACCTGACCCTCCCAATTAGCTGGGATCACAGGCGTCTGCCACAATGACTGGCTATTTTTTGTTGCAGTTGTCATTCTTGTTTTAGCTGGCCCAGGCTGGGTTGGAACCCACCAGCCTCAGTGCATGTGGCTGGTACCGTAACCACTGTGCTACCAGCGTGCCTAGCCTACTTTTTATTTTATTTTATTTTATTTTTTGAGACAGAGCCTCAAGCTGTCCCCCTGGGTAGAGTGCTGTGGCATCACAGCTCACAGCAACCTCCAATTCCTGGGCTCAGGTGAGTCTCCTGCCTCAGCCTCCCAAGTAGCTGGGACCACAGGTGCCCACCACAACACCCAGCTATTCTTTTGGTTGCACCCATCATTGTTTGGCAGGCCTGGACTGGATTCAAACCCACCACCTTAGGTGTATGTGGCTGGCGCCTTAGCCACTTGAGCCACAGGCGCCAAGCCTACTTTGTATTTTAGTAAAAGAAGTCTTGCTCTTGCTCAGACTGGTCTCAGATTCCAGAGCTACAGCGTCTGGCTTCCCAGAGTGCTAGGATTACAGGCTTGAGCCACGTGCCTGGCCCTGGCTAAAATTCTTTTAACCTGCTGTGTATTGACATGCAACCTAGAGGGTCCATTCTTTTTTTTTTTTTTTTTTTTGAGACAGAGCCTCCAGCTGTCGCCCTAGGTATAGTGCCTTGGCATCACAGTTCACAGCAACTGCCAACTCCTGGGCTCAAGCGAATCTCCTGCCTCTGCCTCCCAAGTAGCTGGGACCATAGGCGCCCGCCACAATGCCAGACTATTTTTTGGTTGCACCCATAATTATTGTTTGGAGGCGCAAGCTGGATGTGAACCCGCCATCTCAGGTGTATGTGGCTGTTGCCTAAGCCACTTGAGCCACAGGTGCTGAGTCCTAGAGGGCCCATTCTGCTGGATAATCATCCTATCTCGGGAGATTGACTTTGCCCAGACCACATGGCCACCATAATAGTAATAGCAACAGTAAAACCGCTAACATACACAAATACATCCATACTCCATTTTGTTTGCAAAGCATTTCCTTAAATTTAGTGCCTTAGAGAAAGTGTCACTTAACAAAAATTATGTGAGCTAGGTGACATCACTCCATTTTACAGAACTAGAAACCTGTGACTTCTCGAAGGTCATCCATCTAGTGACAGTAGTCAGGTGATCAGGCAAGAAGGAGGAGATCAGGTTTGATTTCTTTTTCTTTTTTCAGACAGAGTCTCACTATGTCACTCTTGGTAGAGTGCTGTGGCGTCACAGCTCACAGCA